GTGGGGAGTATGGCTGGGGCAGGCTATAGGGGCCTGAAGGGGAATGTAGGGCTGTTGGGGGGGTTATAAGGATGGCTATAGGGGCACCAGTGGGGGTTAGGACAGGGAGGGGGTGGGAGCAGGGCCCGGGGTTGGGGTGGGAATCCTTGCCCAGCCTCAGGCTCCCCCTCCACCACTTCACCCCCCCGCTGACACATTACCCCCCCATCCCTCAGAGTGCCTGAGACCCCTGGGATGTTCAAGCCTTGAGCTGTGTTCTCCAGCCATCATCATGCCCCTACGGCAGCTCCCCCATGTCCCCATGGCGCTGGCCCCCCTGCCCCAGGAGGGCACCATGGCTGTCATGGTGCGCGTGCGGCCCCCCAGCCCCTGTGAGCAAGAGCAGGTCGTGCACCGCATCCTGCACGTTGTCGACCAGCACGTCCTCATCTTTGACCCTGAGGAGCACAGTGGCCCCCCCAGCAGCATGCTGCCCACCCACAGGCCCAAGCAGCAGGGCAAGGACCTGAAGTTTGTCTTTGACCAGGTTTTTGGGGAGGGGGCCACGCAGGAGGAGGTGTTCGAGCACACCACCTGCGAGATGTTGGACAGCGTCCTCGATGGCTACAACTGCTCCGGTAAGACCCGGCAAACGACGTCAATCCTTGCAGGAGCTCCTGCCCCATCCGCTCCTGGGCTGGGTGGGCTCAGTGGAGCCACGGATTTATTTTGGAAGCCCCCAGGCAGCTGGGGAGATGGGGGGGACACAACAGCAATGCAAAAACATGTAGCCTCAAACTTGTTGGTGGCAACAAGCTGGGGTGATTGCAAGTGTGATCAGGACAGGGATTATCCAGATGTGGAAATGTCATCTGTCTTGGTAGGTAAGTGAGGGGAAGCAAAACATGCAGTGCTCTTACAGAATCACAGGAAAAAAAAAAAGCAGGTGAGCAAGAAAAGCGTGAAGATTAACACAGATGAGTGCAAAGTCTTGCACTTGGGGTGGGGTAACTCAGGAGCCCAGTACAGGCTGGGATCTCTGTGGCTGGGGAGCAGCCTCGCTGGGAGGGACCTGGGGGTCCTGGTGGACAATGACCTGAATGGGAGTCAGCAGTGCACTGCGGCAGCAGCAAAGGCAAGTTGCATCTGGGGCTGCATCCACAGGGGCATTTCTAGCTCAGATAGAGATGTGATCATCCCACCCAGTGCTGTGTCCAGCTTTGGTGCCCGCAAGACAGGAAGGATGTGGACAGAATAGAGACTTTCCAAAGGAGGACCATGGAGATGATCTGAGGGCTGGAAAGCCTGCCCTAGGAGAAAAGACTGAAGGAGTTGGGTCTCTTCTCCTTGAAGAAGACATGGGGGGAACCTCATCCGTTTTTGAGTACTTAAAGGGCAGCTACAGATGGGGATGGAGGCTCTCTGGTCACAAGAAGACAAGGGGCAACAGGTACATGTTGCATCTGGAGAGATTTCATCTCAGTATAAGACAGACATTTTTTACAGTGAGAACATTCACTGGAACAACCTCCCCAGGGACGTAGCAGAGTCCCCACGGCTGGAGGTGTTCAAGATGCCACTGGACAAGGTGTTGAGATGATCTCATCCAGGCTCTCTTTCCTACGAGAGCTTGGACCAGATGGTCTCTCCATGTCCCTCTCAGCCTGGGCAGTTCTGTGATACTGGGGGGCTGCAATAGTGCTTGGCACTGCAGGACATTTGATGTAGAGGATGGAGGTGGGTGTTGGGATAGAAAATGAGGCTGGGCAGGCTCTTTCCAGGCATTTTGACGGACAAGGGTCACTTGTTCTCTGCTCTCCTGGGGTGGGAAGGATGGGAAGAAATCAGGTGGATCCTGTGGTACAAAGAGCACCTTGGTTTTGCCTTCCCAGCTCGAATTGCCGTGATAGGCAGAACTTTGAGAGGATGCTGAGTTTCAGAGCGGGATCTGGGGTGAAGCAGACATGTCTTGGGGTGCTTTGGGGGTTGCCATGCCCCTCGTGAGCATCTCCCAGGCTGGCAGCTCCGTAAAGCTGGGTCTAAAAGTTCCTCATCTGACACCACAGACCTCCGTGCTGTTCACAGGCTGTCAGCAGACGAGCGGCTTAACAAGCATATCACTTCTGTGAGGCAGGCACCGAGCGGAAGACAACCACTCTCCTGTCTAATCATGGGCCGGGCACTGGGACTGGGGATGCTATTCCTGGCTCTCTGGCGTGCTCTGTGAGCTGCTGAAGGCTGCCTCTGTCACAGTGCCCACCTGGCAGGCATGTCTCGTGTCTCTATCTGCATAAAATAACTCTAGGATCATCAAATGAGAGAGTTGCGAAGCACCGAGTGCTGCTAATGGGGAGAAGGGCTGAGGCTCTCTAGATTAGTGTGTCCTGCTCTGATGGTGGTGCTTCAAAGAGGGTGTTGAAAGATGGAGGGGAAAAATGAGATGAATTACAAGAAGCACCTTCTGGTGAGAGATGGGAATGGGACTGCTCGGCTTGTTAAAGGGAAGGTTCGGGGGTGACTTGAGCATCTAAGCAGGTGATGGTTTGGGGACTCGTTCTGTCTCTGCTAAATTAGGCTGAAACGAGGAAAAAAATTGCACTGAAGGATAGCACAGCTAGTGTGGAGGGTAATTAGCTTTGCCTCGTCTCCGCAAAGCCCGCAAGCGACCTCCACCACAGGAGTTTCTGTGGGAAGCTCTCCCCTCCAGCAAGGAGTGGACGTTACTCCACTCCTGTTAATTAATGATTGTTTCAACCGTCCACCCTTTCTCCTCACAGTGTTTGCCTACGGTGCGACTGGAGCAGGAAAAACCTACACCATGCTGGGCTTGGAGAAAAGCCCCGGCATCATGTACCTCACCATGATGGAGTTGTACAGGAGGATTGAGGCCAGAGAGGAGGAGAAGAGCTACGAGGTCCTAGTCTCCTACCAGGAGGTATGCTGTGGTTGAGCCATGCCCCCTCCTGCCTCTGGCTCACCATCGCCAAGATTTGGGGTTGATCCGGACCCTGTAGTGCCATGTTCAGGGTACCTGCTGTGCTGTCAGCTCTGCCCAGTGTCCCCAGTGCAGTCCTAGAGCCCAACTGGAAGCAGGCTCACCCGCCCAGTCTGGTGAACTGGTGCTGCTGGTTTCTCCCACCTGGAATCGTGGAATTTTCTCTTCCTCGCTGTGGTCCACACAGCAATGAGGGCTTGCTGGGTGAAAGGGCTTTAGAGGGGTGGTGGCACAATGACTTGCCCATAAAGCCCTCCTGAGCTGTCCTCTGCATTTAGAGCACCGTCAGCTGCTCTTGGTGTAACGAGGTCCTGGAGGTGATGTTGGAAGGGACACCAGGTCGTGTGTGACCCTGGGGTACAAAGCTCCTCTCCCTGCTCGCTGCTGGGGAACCAGACCTCAGCCTTACATTGTGTTCTCCGCTCCAGGTGTACAACGAACAGATTCATGACCTGTTGGAACCCAAGGGCCCTCTGGCCATCCGGGAGGATCCCGAGAAAGGAGTTGTAGTTCAGGGTCTATCTTTCCACCGGGTGGGTATAAAAATGGGCACAAGGTCTGGGCAATGCTGCAACTACACCAGTTCTGAAAGCAAATGCTGGGGGACGTGGAGGGGTGTGAAGACACAGGGCTGCTATCTGCATGGCTCCTGGCTGGCAGCAAATGTGACCCTGAGCTGAAACGAGCCCTGCAGAGCTGCAAGATGCCTCAACCTAAGTCGCTGTGGCTGCTTGGTGCCCGCGTACGGGGTGTGCTGATGCCTGCCCTCTGCATGTTCCCTCCCAGCCCACATCGGCAGAGCAGCTCCTGGAGATGTTGGCCAATGGCAACAAGAACCGGACGCAGCATCCCACCGATGCCAATGCCACCTCCTCCCGCTCACACGCTGTCTTCCAGGTGAGGGCTGGTGGTTGCAGTATCGCTTGAGATTTGTGCGGAAAAGGGGGCTAGGGAGCAATCTCATGCCAGGACAGACATCTCGGGGTTCCTGCCACTGCTCCTGGTGTGCCAAAGGGAAAATCGGAGTGATTGTGGTGCCGAAAAGGGAGGTAGGGGGCTGGGCAGGCCACTAGCAAGCACTGTAGCAGGACGGCACGTACTGGTCATGCTGGTGGCCATGTCTCCCAGACAGCCCCGTACTCCCAGCTTGGTGTTACATGTCCCAAGGGCTGAAGTTTCACTTTGTGCTTTTGACTCGTGTTGACTTAGCATTTGGGAGCCATACCTAAAACCTGACCCAGAGCAAAGGGGGATGTTTATTGCTGGCTCATGCTTGTGCCTCCCCCCAGGTGCTGTGGGCACATTGTCTCCTCGGTTGCTGTGTCCCCCTTGGCACTAAACTGGGAATTACACTCCCCCGGGGGCTCTGAATTTGCTCCCTGGTTTCTCAGTACTCTCCTATGCAAAGCTGCCAGTTGATTTCAATTCCAGCCAGGCCCTTCCCCGAATTAGCAGGGCCATCACGGCTGCATGGGGAGACAGAGGGCTCTGACTGTAATTTCAGTCTGAACCTGGTGCCTTGCCCGTTGCTGCTTGCAGGGGGGAAGTCCAGGTGTCTGGATGCTTTCCCAGGCGGCTTCCCAGCTGGGCTTGTTGGTGGGTGCTGGATTCCTGCCTGCCGTGAATCCATTAGCTGTGCTGGAAATCTGCCCTTCCCACTGCCGGCTCTGCCTCCTGGCAGGTGAACTGCGGTCTGGTGAGGATGCAAGACCGGTTACGGGCCTCCAGCATCTCCGTGGCACCTCTAGTCCTTGCAGGAGTTGCTCCTGGAGCATTAAGGGTGTTATAGGATGGTGGGAGAAGCATTTGCTTCTCCTGGGAGATCTTTAGGGATGCAGAAGGGGAAGTTACAGGGTGATGCTGCTAGGTGAGTCTTGGTGGCTGTGTCCCTCCTCCCCTCCACCAGCTGGGAACTGGACGGTTAGTACCAAGAGCCCTGGCTTTATGCCACCCTGGGGGCTTGCAGCCGCTGTTGGAGTCTGGATTGCTGGTAACATCCACAGTCAGAGTCTGGGCTGGGGCTGCCACTGTGCATGAGCACTTCCTGGGTCATGCCGGCACTCTAGGTTGGCATGTTGCCCTTCAGGGTCCCAACCAGCTGTACCCCACTTGCTCACCAAGTGTAGGAGATGCTGATTATTTTCTGTAGCTCTGTCACTTCTTGTGAGAATCCCTTCCGTGGCTTTGCTACTCATGTCATCACTGAGTTTTCAGCTTGTCTTTTTGGCATGCCAGGGTCCTGTTTTTCCCCTGTTTGATCTGGTGGTCTGCATGATCCACTTCGCCACCCTTTTGTAAACATTGAAACTGGTGATGCTGGCTCCAACCAGCAACGTCGTGTGCCTTGTTGAGCTGCCGCCTCACCAACCTCTGTCTTCGCAGATCTACTTGAAGCAGCAGGACCGCATTGGTGGCCTCACTCGGGATCTGCAAGTGGCCAAGATGAGCTTGATTGACCTGGCAGGCTCGGAGCGAGCTTCGGTCACCAAAACCAAGGGAGAGCGGCTCCGTGAGGGTGCCAACATCAACCGCTCACTGCTGGCCCTCATCAATGTCATGAATGCACTGGCTGATGTAAAGGTAATGCTGTTTGTGTGGACCTGCTGTGCTCTGGCTCTGCAGGGTGGGTGAATGTGAGCAGTATCAAGTGATGGTCTAGCTGGTGCAGTGAGGATGGCAGCCTGGGCTGGACTCAGAGGTGCTGTGGGATGAGCGTGGCCATCCCCTTGTGACACAGGATTCAGAGCTGAGCACCCAAGGGCCAAAAGCTGAGCAGACCCTTGATCTCTTGGTACAGAGCAAGAAAACCCACATCCCGTACCGGGACAGCAAGCTCACACGCTTGCTAAAGGACTCCATTGGCGGCAACTGCCGCACCGTCATGATTGCTGCTGTGAGCCCCTCCGTCCTGGCCTATGAGGACACCTACAACACGCTCAAGTATGCCAGCCGGGCCAAGGAGATCAAGCTGTCGGTGAGGCTCTTGTGTTGCGGTGGTGATCTGTTGTGTGTTTCGGAGCTGTTGGGGATGGGTGGGAAGGAGCCTGGTCCATGGTGGGGTAGATTAGTGGGTGCCTCCCTTCTCCAGCTTGAGTTTTCCAGCACTGGGGATGCTGCTTCAGGCAAAGCAGCTGGTGAAGCTGCAAGACACTGTGTGCTCGGTCTTCTGTTAAAGCCCCTCAGGCCAGAGCCCAAAAAGGCTTGTGACTGTGGCAGCAGACCCCTGAGTGCAGATTGTGCCCAGTACAGCCACCCTGGGGACACTGGAGGAAGCTGAGTAGCTGTGCTGCTCCAGCATCGCAGAGGGGTATGTGCTGCCCCAGTGCTTCTGTAACCTCTCCCTCATCCCTGTCGCTGCAGCTGAAGAGCAACGTGCTCAGCTTTGACTGCCCCGTTAGTAAATACGCTGTGATCTGCGAGCAGCTGAAAGCAGAGGTGAGATGCTGGTGGGGAGGGGAGGGCTCTGTCTTTAGCTGTGGTTTGCTTGGGATGTGGACCTCTGAGCTCCTGGGGGTCATGAAACTGTCTGATCCTTCCTCACAGGTGGCAGATCTGCGGAAGAAGCTCCGTGCCTATGAGGATGCTGCCCAGGAGAAAGAGAACAGGATGCCGGCACCACTGTCTCCCATCAGCTCGAGCACAGTGGGGCTGCTCAGGTGAGGCTGGTGGGGAGGAGGGACAGAGCTTGGTGTGACCTCCTGGTGTCCCCTGTGTCAAGGAGTCTGCAGGGTTTTAGTGCTGGTCAGAGCCCAGATGTCCATCAGAAAGCAGATGAACTTCTCTCCTGGTGTGCACCATCATCTCAACTGGTCAGGTGTAGTTATGAGCCTGACGGACCACAGCAAAGCTGGGCTGCAAAGGCCAAATCTTCTTCTGTTTGATCCATCTCCAAACTTCTTAGGTAATGTGATGGCTTCCCCAGAGGATCTTCTCTGGCTCAGTGGCTTCTTCTCTGGCTTCTGTAGGTTGGAGGAAGCTGTCCCAAAGACATGCGTGGCCCTTGATTTTCAGAGGGAGAGTGATGGAGAGCAGCAGAAGCTGGAAGATGGATGGCCTGTTCAGCTGCAGCTGGAATTGGAGAAGGAGGTGACAGAAGGGGTGGACAGCGCAGGAGGGCTTGGCATGACGAGTGGTGCCTGGTGGGGGGGCTCAAATACCCTTGTGGGGTACACTGGGCATGCTGGGAGAGGGCAGGAACTCAGCCAGTCTACAGGGTCCTGGCTCAGCATGTGTTGGGCTGTGGATTGCTAGCAAAACCCCTTAACTTCCCAGCTAACAGGGAGTTTGGGGACCAAACTCAGCTTAAATATGGGCTAATCCTGGACTTCTGGGCAATTGCTCCAGGCTCCAGAGGAAATGCCTCCCAGCAGCCTCAGAGCAACCCACCAGACAGATATCCAGCTGGAACAGAAGAAACCAAGCCATCTTCTACAGGGGTTGTCCGGCAGCCAGCCAGAGACGTGAGTGTCTTTGTGCTGTCCCCACATGCCACTTCCTCTTGTTTGCCTGTACACGTAGCCTTGTTTGCCTCCTGTTGCACATAGCCATCCTAAGGGTAGTCTAGATGGACGTGGGACCAGGTCTTTGCTTGCAGATGACTGCCTGCCCTCCAAAATAAGGGATTTGGCTCCTGGGGATCTAATCCTATGGGATAATCTCTCCTGGAAATGCCAGCAAGGAAGGTTTCCAGGCACAGCAACTGCGTGAGCCTTAAGTGCTTGTTGTTAGTCCTGAAATTACCTCCACGAAGTCTTTTCTCCTGCTTCAGCTCCCCCAGGTCCTGCCCTGGCAGGGCTCCCATGGCACCATCTGCTGATGTCTCTGCCCCAAGCATCTTGGCAGAATGAACCTCTTTAGAAAGGTCTCTTGAGGGAGGCTGGCCTTGACATGTTCCTGGATCTCTGTCTGCCTCTAGCTGAGCTAATGAGTGTCTGAAGCCCAGCAGAAAGTCTGTAGGTGCCATTTTGTCCCTTGTAACCAACAGGTGAACATGCAACTCACAGCTCAGGTTCTCCAGTAAGAGATTTACAACTTGGGTATCTCACAGCTTCAAAGTTTGCCTCTCTTCCCCCAAAACTCTGCGAAGAGGCTCTGCCCTACCCAAGGAGGTGTCTTGGAGGCGATGCTCGTGGTGCTGAGCCTCTGTTACTGGTGACACTGGCACAAGCTCACCTGCTAACTGGTTCTTGGGTCTGTCTGTGTCCCAGGCTTGTAGCTGCCGTACTGAATGTTGCCCAAAAGCAGTATTCCCTCTTGAAGGATGCCAACCTCCTTACTCCTGACATGGTCTCTGAATTTGAGGAGCTGGAGCGCCTGGTCCATCAGGAGGCTGATGTAAACCTGGAGCAAGCCACATCTCTGAACAGACCCACAGAGGTCAGCGGGGCCACCCCAGCCCAGAGGATGCAGCAGGGCTGTGACGGTGAGGATTTGGATTTGGGACAGTGCTGTCCCCTCTCCTTTGTCTTGACATGTGCCAGAGGAGCTGGTGGTGGTGGGGGACAGCTCCCAGCCACGGGCCCAGGGCAGGGAGATGAGTTTCTCCTGATGTGGTGCCCAGTGGGTTATGCCGAGAGTGGTTCCAGCCTCGCTTTGTATAGCGATTCAGGCTAGCCAGCATATCTGGCAGCCTGGGGCACGGCAAGAGCCGTGAGCAGCCCTTGTCTCTGGGGAACTCAGCATGTGTGTGCAAGTCAGCTTAAATGTGAGTGATATTTCTGCTCCAGGAGACCAAAGCAGCAGTTCTGATCGTAATTTTTTCTCGTCTTGTTTATTCCTCCATGGTACATTTGCCCGAGTCAGCCTGGCTGCAGCCTCCTGGCTGGCAGCCTGCATCTGACCAGGGCTGAGCTCTTCCTCCTCATCCTCAGTGCCAACACATTAACCTGATAGCAAAGCTGTGGGCTCTGCAGACCGTGTTTTCTGGGGACAGACCAGGCACTGCCACGGGGCACTTGCTTTGGGACCAGTGTGGTGCCTTTAGGCTGGCAAGGCACAGGATTATTTGTGCTGGCTCTTTTCCTCTGGGTTTAACGTGATTTGATGAAAACACCCGCTGGCAAACAGCTGCTGTAGGGCTTGCTGGGCAGATCTCTGCTGAGCTGTGAGGGGGGGCAGAGGGGGATACCCCAGGGTTTGGGGGTGTCTGGGAGCTGCAGACAGGGAGGTGACTGTTTCTTCTCTGCTCCTTTAGCAGAGGCATCTGTTGCTGTGTCCAGTACCCCTGTGACAAGCACCACCCTGCAATGCTTGCGGCAGCTCACTCCACTCTCCAGTTCCATGCTGATGGCTCCCAGCCCAGTTAAGAAGAGGAGGAAGTCTGGGAGGAAGTTGGGAAATCCCCGCAGCCTCAAAACACAGATGAAATGCCAGCGGGGATGTGGGAAAAAAGCGGAGACTCCTAGGGCGATGCAGAGCCTAGGCATCTCCTGTCTCAAAGCAGCAGCCCAGACACCCCCTGTCTCCCCGGTGCCATCACGTTGCACCCCCAAAATCTGCACACTGACAGTCACCAAAAGCCATGTGCCCCTGGCAGTGTCAGCTGCTCAAAACTGCTGCATCTGGCCTGCCCTGCCCGTCCATGACCTGAATGTGACTTTCGAGATCTGCAAGGGCTGCGATTCACCTGGCATGGCCAAGCCAGCTGCCTTCAGCACACCTGAATTCTCTGTCTGGGACAATGTTCAGAGCATCCTAAACAAGAAGGACACACCCTTTGTGCCCAAGTAAGTGCTGCCCTGGATGGGTTACCCATGTTTTTGGGGAGCCCCTCTTCATGGTCTTGCTGTCTGGGTGAATCCTTTGTGGATCACTGCAGCTCTGCTAAGAGGGGAGGCTGGGCAGAAGATATTTGGCCTGTAGACGGGCAGCCAGTGGGCCAAGCTTGTGTGTGAATCACTTGCAAAGATATAAAAAGCATTCCAAGAAAATCTATTTCTCCTTCTTCTCTTCCCTTTGGACATGGAGGAGCATCCTCCACATGGCTTCTGGAGCCCCATGTGCTGGTTGGGAAGCAGGTGGGATATTGCCTCTCCTCCCAGAGAGGTTGAAGCGAGGGTCGGGACTGCGCAGTGTGGTGTTTCTAGGGTGTTTTATTTTTTTATTGCTGGTGCTTCAAAGCTTCTGGCTTTCACAGAGCTGTGTGAATTTGTGTGACCAGCCAAAAACAGAGATCAGCATGCCCTTGGTAATGCAGGACACCCTTAGGTCTCCCTATCTCCTCCTATAGCTCTAGGAAATCATTCTTGTAGAGGGTAACTGGGGAAACTGAGGTACAGGGGAACGGCCCGACCACCTTAGGGAGCAGGAGTACCCAGGCAGCTGCTGCCACTAGTGCAGATCCCCTGAGGATTCACCCCTGTTTCAGTCATCTTCCCCTGCAAAACCAGACACGTTTCCTGTGACTTCTGTTCCCTGCAGGTGGATGGTGTTGGCCCAGTTGCCTCCCAGCCTTGTGAGAGTGAGTGGTCGGGATCTAGCCCTGGCACTAACCCTCTTTTCCTTGGCTGCAGATCCTGTGTCCCAGTGTTTGCCATGAGGGGTTCCTCCATCCCCAAGCCCTCCTCTGTCTCCAAAGCATCTGCGCAGAAGCGGAGGCAAGTGGAGAGGTGAGACAGCCGCTGGCACCCTGTACCCTAGAGCGCTCTGTGCAGGCAGCAAGGATTGGCAGCTCCTGCCTGTGCTCGCCTCTGGGACTCGAGCCCCTATCCCTGCCTGTGTTGGCTCCACCCTGCCTGTAACATCTGGGGGTGATGGGGGGGCCTCTGCCCTGAGCCTCGAGGGTTTAAAATGGCCCCTTTCTCTTTCACAGCACCACTTACCCCTCCCTGGGTAGGCTCCAGAGCCGCATCGCCCAACTCCCGAGCAGCAGCCAGAGATCTGTGAAGCCCTCCCGCATCCCAGGTGAGCCCTGTGCCCTCCACACCTGGCCAGGTGCCTAGGGAACACCTCTCCCTACAACATGATGGGCTGCGGGAGTGATCCCTGCCTCGGGAGAAGCAGCAAACTGGTGTTGTGCCAGCCCCGTTCCAGCTCAGGGGGTGAAAATACCTGGGAATTGGGATGCTTGGTGCTGGTGGAAGATGCTGTTTGGGGTTTGCTGCTTTCTGGCTGCAGCCACAGCCTTGGGGAAGGGCGGTGGGTGCTTGGGGAGGGGTAGAAAGGAGGAGGGAGCTGGTGGCAGTGTCTGGTTGCCAATCACGAGGGGACCTGGGTTTGCTGCTTTTACCCAGGAGCTGCCTCATGTGCTTCTCTCCTCTTTCCATCCTCAGAATGTCCTTCGGGCGCCCTTGCCTGGAAGGGCAGCAAGAGGACCACCAAAGGGCTTGCGGCACGTGACGGCACAGCCCCTGCTCCCACCCCCCAGCCAATGAAGTTCTAATGCTTATGGCCCCACCGACCAGGATCCCTCCCAACATCCAAACCCAAGTGTCAAACTTCTTTGTTTCTCTGAGAGCCCTATCCCATCCCTCCTGCAGCCCCACAAGTTTCCCCTCAAGCCCTTCTTCTACACCTAACATCACCCCCAGGGTCCCGGTTGTGTCCCCCGTTGCGTGTTACCCCCCCTTGGCGCAGCCCTGTATATTTTTTGCAGCAGATGGATTATTGCTGTTCCCTCTCAGCCCCTCTCTAATCTGCGCCAGGGTGTCGAGTGCTAACAGATGGGTGATGCTAAGAAATAACACGCGCTTTTAATAAATCCTTTCGTTTCAAACCAGAGGGGCGAGGGGAGACGTGCGGCTGTTTCTTCTCGCCTCCCCCTCGTGCAGGGAGCTGGGATTGGGTAGCGGCTCCTGTCTGCGGGCCTGGAAAAGGCCCTTGCTTCTGGGGGTGGGCTCCATAGTAGCTTCCCCCCATCTCCCATCATCATAGGGGCCCCATGGGTGCCTCCTGCCCCCTTTGCTGTGCCTGTGGGGGTCTGGGCTGCTTGCTCAGTATCCCAGGGTGCAGGCCAGGGGCGGTGGAGGCTGCCTGCCCTCCCAGCTCCTGCTGCTTTGTGTAGTGATTGGGGCAAAAGTTCCTGTGCTGTTTACTCCCTGCTAAAACCCCATCGCTGCCACCCCTGTCTTCTTGTCCCCCTGGGATCCTCACTCCAGCTGCCTGCAAACCCCCAGTCTGGGTGCAGAGAGCTCTGAGCATCCCTACCCAGGGACCACACCTGTCCCCTGACACCCCTGTGACCCCTTTTCGTGTCATGCCAGGGCACATCTAAGTACTGACACATCTGGCTGCCTGCCCAGCTCCTTGTTGCCACCCTCAGAGGTGACCAAGGGTGGCAGGAGCAGGATGGGAAGGGTGGACCTAGCTCCGGGTGTGCTGCTGTCCCATGGGGACCAGGGTCACCGACTCCTCCTGTCCTACTTTCCTGCCTGACAGTGGCAGATCTTGCCTTTGTCTTCTCAGAGGCTGGAAGCTTCTAATTAAAACTTCCAGCCCGCTCCCAGTTAATTTGTCTCATTAAGAGGGGGCCTGGGAGGAGGAGGAGGGAGAGCCTAGCTCTGCCTCCACGCAGCCACCGGGAGTGACAGCTTTCCGTGCTTTGATCCTGGCTGCGTAGGAGCTGGGAGAAAATAAATCTCTGGGGAGTGGCTCATGTAGGACCCCGAAGCCCCTGCGCCCCCGCTCCGTTCCCTCCGCCCTGCGAGGGCTGTGCACCCCAGGGGACTTCAGGCAGTCTAGAGCGATGGAGGTCCCCTGTCACCACGGGCTGTCACACAGCATGTGTCCCCAGGGATGTCACTGTTCTGGCAGGCTGGGGACACCAAGCATCACGTGTGGGGTATGTAGGTGCCCCAAGCCAGGTGATTCTGTAGGCAAAACCCTTGCCTGTGGTTGGTGACACCAGTCCAGGACAGCAAGGGGGACATGGTGTTGGCTGGGGACAAGGAGCTTCTTGGGGATAAAAGGGGGATTTGGCAGCAAGAGGTTGTCCCTGAGCACTGTCTCAGTGCCACCAGTATGACCCCCAAGTGGCTCTGGGTGCCCACAGATTGCACCCATGGCGACATGGCTGCTGCCACAACCCTTCCTGACCAGCCGCTGTCGGTGGCCCAGCGATGGTGGCTGGTGTCCAGTGGGGCTTGGCTGCCTGTCCCGAGCGGGCAGGGAGCCTTTCCCAGCCATCGGCTGCCATCTAGCTGCCGGCTGGTGAGACCTGTCCCCATCCCTGTCCCTGCAGCATCCTCACCAGCACCCCAGGGCCCCCCGTCCCCCAGCTTCCTCCCAGCTGCCTCTTGGGGCATCCACTGTGTGTCCCTTATGTCCCTAAAACACCCCCGTCCCCTGCCTGCGCTGTCCCCAAGGCCTGGCTGTGCCTCAATTCGTGGCCAGGGTGCGGTGGCTTGGAGGGGACAGGGCTGGTGGTGGCCCTATGCCCATCGCTGCCACCGCCCCTGGATCCGTCCCGCCGTGTTTCCCGGCAGCGTGGTGCCCCAGCACAAAGGCACCCCACGGCTGTGCCGGGCAGCACTGGCTCCGGCCCTGCACAAAGCCCCTTTCAGCCGCTTGGGGAAAGCCCCTGGCACCTGGCCCCTGCCTAGGGAGGGGTCCTGGCCCTCAGTCCTCCCCCACCGTTGGCCAACAGGGGGTAAAAGACCCCCCAAACTCTGTACACATGTGACCAGTGACATGGCCATGCACATGCAGCCGTGGCCATGGCAGGATCAGGCCCCCTCAGAGCTGGGAAGGGGATCCAGTGTCCTGAGCTCCGGCCAGGCTCCAGTGGCGACCAGCCAGCGCTTTTACAGACCCACTGGGGTGGAAAGGACTTTGGAGGCTTCAGCCACTTAATTAGCAGCCTGCCTTAATTAGCAGCCTGCCCGCGCTGCAAGACTGCCTGAAAAGTGCCTCGGCCCGCTGGGGTGGCTGGTACTGAGCTGCTTGTGCCGGGGCTCGTCCCGGGGGGATGTAACATGGGGAGCGTGGGTGTGTGTGCACGTGTGTGTGCGCACACGTGTGGATGTGCACGCGCGTGCATAGCAGGATGGCCGTGCATGTTGTGTATACATGGAAGGGTAGATGTGCTTCTGCAGCTCTGTGCGTGTGCATGTGCACAGGTGTTCAGGGAAAGCAGCATGCGTGTGCGGATCTGTGCACGCTGGGTGTGTGTGCACATGTATATGCAGGGGTAGGTGTGCATGTGCGTGTGCATTGGACGTGGTGTGTGTGCACATGGGCATGGAGGGATGGATGTGCATGGACATGGGTAGACATATGCGTGTATCTGTAGGTGCATGTATGCACATGTGGATGTGTGCATGCATACAAGTGGGTGCGTTATGTGCCTATATGTAGAAGTGCACATGCACGTGTGCGGATGCCTCCTTATGGGTGTGTGCGCAGGACGGGGAGGGGGTGGGGTGTGCGCACACGCATGCAGGCATGTGTGCACGAGGGGGTGGCTGTGCACGCGTGCACCGGAGCCTGCCTGGTGTGTCTCTCTGCCTTGAGCACCTCAGACGCTGCTGGGGCCAGGGGTGTCGTGGGGACGGGTTCCCGGGGCGCAGATACAGCCTGGGCCCTTGCAGCGGGCACCCTACAGCACCACACCCGCCCTCGCACCCAGCACCCACAGTGCCCTGTGGCGTTGTACCCAGTCCCTCGGTGTTTACCCAGCCTTGCACCCAGCACCCACCCACCGGCTGCCCCATGGGTGCCCGTGGCCACTGCTCTGCCTCCCCCCTTGGCGTCTGCCCCAGGCTCCCCCAGGCCCTGGCAGTTCTTGCCTTGGTGGGGGGCAGGCAGTGGGCAGGGGGCCGTGCCGCGGTGCCTGGGCTGGGTGCCAGGGCGCATCCGCCGCTGCCGGGCACCACAAAGGCTGGCTTTTGTGCTGGTCCTCCGGCTCCTTGGCTGGCGGCCAGCGCGGGGGTGGCCGGCAGGGCCAGGGGCCCCCAGGCTCCATAAAACTCCCCAGGCCAGGCACATCGCACCCACCCCTTCAGCATGGAGAGCCAGCGGCTGTCCTCCTACGGCCGCCGCTTCGGCCCTGCCACCCCAGTGTACCGGGTGCTCCCCGCCAGCCCCCCAGCCCGGCTCCGGGCTCCCCGCAGCACCCAGCCAGGTCCCCGTGTGGGTGCCCGCCTGGGGTCGGGCAAGATGGACTTCTCACTGGCTGCGGCGCTCAACTCAGAGTTCAGGGAGACGCGCACCAATGAGAAGGTGGAGATGATGGAGCTCAACGACCGCTTCGCCAGCTACATCGAGAAGGTCCGGCTCCTGGAGCAGCAGAACAAGGTGCTGGTAGTGGAGCTGAACCAGGTACGGGACCAGGAGCCCTCGCGTCTGGCTGATGTGTACCAGGAGGAGCTGCGTGACCTGCGGCGCCACGTGGAGCAGTTGGCTACAGCCAAGGCCCGTCTGGAGATCGAGAGGGACAACCTCACTGAGGACCTTGGCAGTCTCCAGCAGAAGTAAGATGCTGCCCTTCTTGGGGTAGTCCTGGGGACCGAGGTGGCCACCAGGACAGGACTGAGAGTGGCCACTGGGATGGGCATCAGGGTGACTACCAGGACCAGAGTGGCAGCAGGGACCAGGAGGGCCATCAGGGTGGTGTTGAGGGTTGTCCTGGGGCCCATGATGGTGGCGGGGCCCGTGATGGTGGCGGGGCCCGTGGTGGTGGCAAGGACCTGGGACCAGAATGGGGACTGGGCTGCCCCCAGGATCAGGGTGGCCGCTAAGACAGAGACCAGGGTGGCCACCAGGACCAGGGTAGCCCGGGGGACCAAGCACTGATGGGTAGCAGGGTGGTGATGGGGACATGGGTGGCAACAGGGACAAGGATGACCCCTGGGAACAGTAAGGGATGGTGGCACGGGATGTGGGATGGGCACAGGCACCGATGCGGTGTGCGGGTGCTGGTGCTGGTGGCGTGGGGCTGTGTCGACCCGGTGGGTCTGTCCATGGGACTGAGAGTAACGAGTAACGGCGCCAAATGAGTAACGATGCTGAACGGGTAGCGATGCCAAATGACTAAGGATGCCTCTCTGCTCCGGTGCAGGCTGCAGGACGAGGTCACCCTGCGGCTGGAGGCCGAGAGCAACCTGGCTGCCTACAGGCAGGTGAGGGCAGGGGCTGGATCCTGTGTCCCCCATCCTGCACCCCAGGGGTTCAGCTCAGGGATGGGGCAGGGGTGGGACGGGGATGGGCACGGACAGACAGGAGAGGGATGGGGCAGGGATGGGCAGGAACAGGCAGGGCCAGGCAGCTCAGGAGGGAGCAGACCCAGGTGGCCAGCCCTGGGGACAGTCCCTCATGTCCCCCCGCGGTGACAGGACGTGGATGCCGCTGCCTTGGCTCGCCTGGACCTGGAGCGGCGGGTGGGGACCCTGCAGGATGAGATCGCCTTCCTCCGCAAGGTCCATGAGGAGGTAACCCCCGGGGGGACTCGGCAGGGGGGGGCCTGGGGCTTGGGGGGGCCCTGGGGCTCAGAGGGGGCCAGGCTGACCCTCGCTGTTCCCCCAGGAGCTGCGGGAGCTGCAGGAGCAGCTTGCCCGGCAGCGGGTGCACATTGAGGTGGACACGAGTAAGCCGGACCTGACGGCCGCCTTGCGCGACATCCGCAGCCAGTACGAGGCCATGGCCGCCAGCAACGTCCAGGAGACCGAGGAGTGGTACAAGTCCAAGGTGTGGTGGGAGTCGGTCACCCAATGGATGGGTGGCTTGGCTGTCCCCTCCTGGGATGTCACCTGCTTGGGGCTGGAGTTGACCACTCCAGGGTTGGGTGGCTCTGCTTGGTGGTGGTGCATGGGGTTTGGGATCCCCACTGTCCCTGCTCATGTCCCATGTCCTGGTTTGGTCCCTGTGGGGAGCAGGGATGTGTCCCCTGTGACACCCCAAGGCACCATCCCTCCCACCCACAAAGCAGGGACGTGTTCCCAGCAACACCTGCCATCAGGGATGTCCCCCGTGTCCGCTGTCCTATCACGTCAAGGGAGCAGGGACATGCCTCCACAATACGTGCCATCGGCCACGTGCTTCGTGTGCACTGTCCCTTCCACCCACGAGAGCAGGGACATGTCCCTAGCACCACGTGCCGTTACGGGCACATCCCGTGTGCGCTGTCCCTTCCTCCCATGGGAGCAGGGATGTGTCCCCACGACACATGCTGCTGGAGCCACAGCCCTCCCACAGGAGCTGGATGTCCCCAGGACACGTGCCTCTGGGGATGTCCCACATGTCCCTTCCTGCTGTGGAAACAGGGATATGTCTCCAGTGCCACACCAAGCGCATATCCCATGTGCACTGTCCCCTCCTGCCATGGGAGCAGGGACATGTCCCCAGTGACACATGGCACTGGGGACATGTCCCATGTGCACTGTCCCACCACCCCCCAGGGTCAGGGACATTTCTCCGCGCCACATGCTACTGGGGCCATATCCCTCCTGTGGAGCAGAGGAGGGTCATGTCCCCACGCCATGTGCCACCAGGACATATACCTGCCACGTGGTCCCATCCCATGGCACATGTCCCCCCACCCAGTTTGCAGACCTGACAGATGCGGCCGCCCGGCACGCGGAGGCCCTGCGCGCAGCCAAGCAGGAGGCCAATGAGTACCGGCGCCAGCTCCAGGCCCTCACCTGTGACCTGGAGGCTCTGCGGGGTTCGGTAGGTGATGGCTGTGGGGTGCAAGGGGGTGGGGACATGGCCTCGGGGAGCTGCCACCACCATGGGGTTCTCTGGCACAGCAGTGGGGACCACCACCCAATGCTGGGGGAATGGCTGGTCCCCAAGGATGGGAGATGGATGGGGACTGTGGAGAGGCCCTAGGTCCTGGGAGAAGGTGGCCATGGAGGGTGTCACGTCCCCTCGTGGTCCCCCAGAACGAGTCCCTGGAGAGGCAGCTGCGGGAGCTGGAGGAGCGCTACGCCCTGGAGACGGCCGGCTACCAGGACACGGTGGTACGGCTGGAGGAGGACATCCGCAGCCTCAAGGAGGAGATGGCCCGGCACCTGCAGGAGTACCAGGATCTGCTCAACGTCAAGCTGGCCCTCGACATTGAGATTGCCACATACCGCAAGCTGCTGGAGGGCGAGGAAAGCAGGTGAAGGCAAAGCTGCGGCTCGATCCTGCCCCCTCCCCATCCCCAGCCATGCCCCAAACCAAGGCCAAATCCTCATGGTCCCTCTGGGGTGTCCAGCTCGGTTGGGGACCACCCTCCAGCCTCCTGCCCCAGCCCTGGGCAGGGTGGAGCTGGTGGGCAGCAGGACCCTGTGCTCTTCCCAATGCCCCCTGTTGCTCCTGCAGGATCACTATCCCTGTGCAGAGCTTCTCCAACCTGCAGATCCGAGGTAAGGCTGTGGCCACCTGTGGGGTGGGTTGGGGGGTGGGAGGGCAGGATGGTTGCACAAGCAGGGGTGGCTTCTGGTGGCTCCATGGGGGACATGCCATTTTGGCCATCCCTACCCCATCCAGAGGGATCAGGAGGTTTTCCTCTGAATCTCAAGGAACCAGGATTCCTGGGTTCTCCCAAGATGGGGGGAGGAGTGTGCCATGGCCACATCCCCAAGGCTGAGCATGTCCCCAAGGCCAATGACATCCCCAAGACTGACCATATCACGATGTCCATAGTGCCAGCCACATCCCCAAGGCCAATTGTGTTCCCCAGTGCCAACTGTATCCCCAAGAACAACCCTGTCTGCAAGCCCAATCACATCCTAAAGCCACCCATGTCCCTATGGCCAAACACATGCCCATGGCCAACCACATCTCTAAAGCCAAACATGTCCCCAGTGCCAACTGTGTCCCCAAGGCTAGTCACATCCCCAAGCCAGCCACATCCCCAAGGCCAATCATGTCCCCAATCGCATCCCCAAGCCAACCATGTCCCTGAGGCCAATGGTGTCCCTGAGGCTGGTCATGTCCCCAGGGCTGCTGTCTCCCATGGTTCAGGGCTTTCCAGCCCAACCTGTTTCCTTTGGGCCCCTCCACTTGTGTGTAGCTGGAAGGGCTATACCCCAGGCACCAGGTCACCACCATGTCCTGCCCGTGTCCCCTAGAGACCAGCCTGGATGCTAAATCTGTGTCAGAAGCCCATCTGAAGAGGAGCATCGTGGTCAAAACTGTGGAGACCAGAGATGGAGAGGTAGGAAGTCCTCATCCGTGTCACCCATGCTGCCTTCCCTCCACCCCCGCCTTCCCATGGGGTGTCCCTAAGGGGGTCACTCATCATGCACATGGGGCCACCATCCCTCAGCCCTGGGAGCAGCCCAGGCAGGGAGCCAGTGATCCCAGTGCCCTGAGAGCACAGCGTGAACTGGCTGTGGACCATGGTGGAGCTGAGCCTGGCAGCTCATAGAGAAAACCATCCCTGTCCCCATCCCCAAGCTCAATCAGAGCCCAGGCAGGCTCAGCCGGGGAGAAGAGCCTGATCCTGGGGTGATGGTCCCTCTCCCTCTGTCTCCAGGTGATCAAGGAGTCCAAGCAGGAGCACAAGGAGGTGGCATAGGGTGGGCGAGCCACAGCAGCCACACGCTTGTAGCTGTAGCTCCGTAGGTCCTGTCCGATGCTGCGAGGGAGCCCCACGGCCAGGCATGGGTCGCGGGAGGAGCTGGTGGTGCTTTGTCAGGGACCATCTCCCTCTCATCAGCCCCTTGCCTATCCCACGTTGCCCCGTGCCCCAGGGACCCCACTGACACCCTGTTTAGGGCTGGCTGTCAGCAAAGCAGCTGTCTGACCAGGCACTGTGTGGGGAGGGGATGGGCAATACCCGGGGGACGTGAGCGGTACCGGCCAGAGCCAAGCTCCCCTGCCGGGTTGCTACCACATCCCCATGGCACAGAGGGGCCAGCAGTTTTGGGGTTGTGCCCACGCCCACCCTGGGTCTCTGGCTCGTCAATGGCCAGGGAGAGAGTCAGTCCTGTTCCGATCTCCATGCACTGGTCAGACAAGACGGTGGTGCCAAGAGCATTTCTCCCTGCATCCCACCTTGCTGCCCTCTCTCTGGTCTGGGAGGCCACCCTGAATCTCCCCAGTGTACCCAGCCCTTGAGCACCCTTGGGGTGGGGGGCTGCAGGGTGCAAGGTAGCAGCTGGTGAGAGATATTTCCCCATCACCAAGCATTGGGTGGGCTTAGCCAAGAGGCACGGGCAGGAGGAAGGGGAGGATGGAGAGGGAGGGTGCTGTCAGGATGGTGTCAAAGGGTGATGAGATGGGGATAATGAGGGGTTCCTGGGGACACTGGGGTGTCCAGGGTGGTTTGTGGGGCCAGAGCAGTGGTGGGCAAAGCAGGCTGGGTGGCCTCAAGGGTTTCTCCTGGCACAGAGCTATGGGGCTGTTCTGACCCCCACTGGGTGTCTGCCACCAAGGTGTCCCCATCACCGTAGTGGGGAAAAACAGTCCCGAGTGGCTCGTGGTGAGGGGCGACCCACAGCCGTGCATCTGGCCCCTCACCTGGAGGGGTCCCACGCAGGTGAAAATGGAGAGGAGGGGAGTGCCGAGAAGGAGGAGGAGGAGGGTGTTGGGGCACCCGCGGGTGTTCTCACAGTAGGAGGTGCCTCCCGCACCCCAGGAGTGACGGGGAAGGACAAACAGAGCCATCTTAATTCTGCCTGTCCCTCCTGGGGTCACACTAGGAGCCAGGAGGACGGGGGACCGGGGCTGTCCCCAGTCACAATCCCTGCCACGCATGGAGCCCAAGCCCACCCTCCGCATGGGCATTCAAGATGGGGTTGGAAGAAATCCCTTGTTCCTGGGCTCCACGTGGCCCTGTCCCCCATCTATCCTCCCGTGCTCCCCCCAGACCAGCACATGCCACCGGCCCACCCAGGACCATTGCCCAGCCTGGTGCTTGCCCGCAGCCCCTGTCCCCACCTTCGATTTAGCTACTGACCACAAGCGAAACCTGCCCTGATGCCACCTAACGTAGGAGCAATGACCCAGCGGCAATTCCTGTACCCCGTAAGCCCTTTGGGATGAGCACATGGGATGCCACTTGGATGCCATCCCCCCTGTCCCCTCTGTCCCCCTCATCGCTCAGGTGCTGAGCATGCTTTGCAGCTACCGACTCCAGAATGGCCAGTCCCGGGGGCAGGAGATGTTATAGGAAACCTGGGTGCTGCCCAGGTTTGGCATCTGGAGTGGGATGGCAGGGGCCCAAGGGGCTTGGTCCCCCTGCGAGCAGCCTCCGGTTGGAGCTTTGCAGCCCACGTTGCTACTGAATTAATGCACTAACGCCCGCAGCAGCTTGAGATGAGAAATAAAGCTAATGCAAGTGCTGTGCTTCCACGGTCATGCCTGCAACCTGCCTCTCCGCAGCCAGTGCTGTGGGTTATTTGGGATTAGCTGGGGTGGCGAAGCCCTTCGGGAGCCCAAACCGAGCTCAAAGTTGCCAGGGGACTCAAGCTCAGTGCTGTACCCCAAGGCATGGCCAACACTTCATGGGCCAACACCCATAAAGGACTGCAACGCAGGGGAGAGGGGTGCAGGAATAACCCCTCCAAGAACCAGCAGCTGGGCAGTGGGGTGGGAGAGATCCCCTTCCCAGGAGGGAGGGAGGGGAAACAGGGATCTGCTCGGGGTTCTTCAACCTCAAACCCAGCTCCTTCCCCACACAAACCCCTGCTGCGGCTCCTGGGATTGCCTGCAGCTGTTAGGACTGATGGTGGATTTGAGATCCTGCGCATCATCTACATGGTTCAAGTGCCTGAGCATCACTGGGCCCCCCAGTGCTGCCCTCCTGGACAGCAGGATTTCTCTTGGGAAAGCTGGAATCCCCAAGCCACATCCTTGAAAAAAGGAGTGGAGATGAGCTCCGTGGGGAATTCCTGCTCCACACTGAGGAGCAAGCAAGTGGCCACCTAAACCCTACAGAGATGCCATCCTCTTTGGAGGACATGCATATTAATTTTTTCGGGCACAAATATTGACTCGTAAGTCTGTGCTGAGTTGGGCGAGTTAAGTAACACAACCAAAAACCAGAGAAATTTCTGAAGAAAATCACCAGATTAATTTCAAAAATATTTTTTTTCCTGAAAAGATGCTTAAACCAAAATCTAAAAAAATGGGTTTGCTCCAGCTAAGGAGCTCAAAGGAACATTGAATGTTCTGAAATGTTGGCACTCGAAGTTCTCAGCAGTGAAAAAAAGTTAAAAAAAAAAGGGTAAGAAAAGCAAGAATTAATTGGATTAAAATAGTTTGGTGTATCTTTTTAGCAGCCTCTTAGAAAAACAGCTCAAATAAATCACTGATGGAGTTTGAGAACTCTGTAGAGCTTGGCCAGAAGATCTTGCAACAACTCCAAGCATTCTTTTAAGAATGACTATATTGAGCTTAAAACCCCACCGCAAGCCAGCGGCAGAGCCAGGAACAAATCGTGGCAGTGTGAAATCCCTGCCTGTCCCTACTAAGCCGTGCCAATGTGCAGCACGGGGAGTTTTCCACATCAGTCCTCACTGTCACGCTCTTGACCAAAAGGGAGGATGAGCAGGTGCTGGCAGCATTTTCATTTCTAATGATCAGGACATTAGAAATTTCTAACGGGAGGATGATCTGAGGTGTAAAAGTGACCCATCAGGGCTGTTGTGGAGATGCTATGTTCTGGCAGGGCACCTGAACACTCGCCAGCAGCAGCGGCACACGTGGATGACGATGAAGATGATGCTGATGAGGACATAGCTCATGCCGATGGTCTTGACAGCGTACAATGTCTCAGGATCGTCAAGTTTCCGCCGGCGCCGGTGCTGGTAGATCACGCTGAGCCGGAAGCCGGCCACCATCTCACCCTCCCGCCAGCAGAAGTAGGTACCTCGATCACTGACTCGGACCCGCTGGATGTGCAGGTGGTTTCCGTGGTCAATGAAGACCCGCATGCTCTTGTTGACACCGACAAGGTAGCGGGAGCGGTAGAGCCGGATGGAGTCCTTGTCCCAGGCCACAGCATGCTCAGGCCGGGCTCCTGGGCACGCAATGATCAGGCCACTTCCAGTGGGCTGCTGGTGAAACTGCGTGGGGACGCGGGGCAGCCAGGGCTTCTCACCCAGCTTGGAAATGACATTGGAGATGGCCTGCACACCTTCCTCGGGGACCTCCTCTTTCAGGCAAGGGGTCAGGCAGCTTCGGATGGCCACCTCAGGTCTCCGGAGGCGGCCAGGGCGCTGGATATTTGCAGGGACAGCTCTTGAGCCACAGGACGTGACGTTGGGCACAGCGGTGCGGTATCGGGGATGCAGCTGGGTGCTCTGTATGTAGCAGAGCCCGATCCGCCGCTGCTCGCCTCTCACCCCACAGCGGTCGCATCTGGTCCAGTCCCAGAAGGTGGTGAAGAGGCTGAAAAGCTTCCTTGTGTAGTCATCCTGGACGTGCTGGCCTCTGTCCACAAAAGCTACCGTGATGTGCTTGGTGGGCTGCACGTCCACATCGTAGCCATAAAAGAAGTCCCCTTTCTTAGTGCCACACAGGTAGTGTCCCGAGTCCGTCACCTGGGCTCGGAAGACAATGAGACTGAACATCCGGATACTGAAACGCTTCAGCACATCACTGCCCGTGTGGATATGGCCCGAGTCGACAACCACGGTGCCAGCAAAGTCCGTCAAGACTGTGGTTTCATGGCTGCCCATATTCTTCTGGAAGTACCAGATGACAGAAGAGACCTCTTCGGGCTTGCAGTTGCAAGGGAGTTCGAAGGTCATGTCAGCCAAATAAGCAGCATTGTCAAACATCAGGAAAGCAGGACAAGCCATTCTCTTGAACACATCTCCTTTCTCTTCAATCGCAAAAGCATGGAGAACACCTACCAGGCAGAGGAGAATGGCGGCTCCCAGCAGCCTCATCTCCATCACACCGGGCGGTCTCTGCAGTCAGCAGAACTCAGCCACTGCGTCCTCAGCGGGGACAGCAGGAACCCGCACATGGGGTTAGCAGTGCCAGCGCCGGGCAGCGACGATGCACACTCAAGCCTGCTTGCCAAAGGTGGGGTTTGCAAATGACCCCCCGCCTGCAGTGCACGTGCTGACAGCAGGGATCAAACAGCGGCTGAAATATCCCATCCCAGCTGCTGGGAAGTGCTCTGTCCCCGCTCCGAGGGCAGGCTGTTCCCTGGGACACAGACTCTAGAACCTTTCCTCTCACCCAGCTGCTCTAGAGTGTTGTTGTCCGTGCCCCAGACAACAAGTGGGCAGGTCATTTGTGCAGCACAGCTGCAGAGGAAAGATGATGGGAAGCGTGGTGGGAACAAGGGAACTGCTGCCATCTTCTTGAAAGACTCATGTGCAGTAAATGTTAATTATTGCTCTGACCCCTGTAAGCACAACGAACCCAGAGAAGACTCTCCTCCGACGGCAGCTGACCTCCATAGCCCAGAAGAAGAGGTTTCAAACATAGTATTTATACTTCTACATCCTCCCTGTTGGCTTTCCAAGGGTTTGTGTGCTGAAGTCCTTCCACACAGGTAATGTTTGAGATGCCCCCTCTCTGAGTGATCAAGGGAGGCTTTTTGTTCACATCACCCTT